ACCTCCTACAGTATTTTACAGTCTTTATTTTACAGTTAAAATATATGTTTATTAAATAAAGTCTAATGTTACAACTAATCGGGAATCCCTTTAAATCATTTTTTGAGACAATGAGTTTTCAGATTTGTAAGTAAACCCAACCTCTTTTCTTTAAGTTACAGGTACTGAATTAAGTTGAACATACTGTTTTATGTAATTACAACATACTCAAAATGATCCAGTTGAGTTATGCAAGCATAAAATGTACAATTTATACAAACTAACATTTCAAGTTCGAAATGTTAGTTTGATATTCTTCTGAGTCAACCTGTTTGCATACATTTTCTAGGTAAATCCACTTATTGCATTAGACAGTTTTTTTTAAATGCTTTGAAACTCTCTGCCACACTATCTAACTCAAGACGTTGTTGTGCTGATTCTCTTAATAAAGGTTGGATATTTGGGTCTTGATTTAGCTCGTCTGCAACTCTATGAAGTGCTGCACACAAATCCTCTGTAAATTTCCTTTCTTTTTCTTCATGTTTTCTTTTAAGCTCCTCTTTGTGTTTTATTTCTTCTTTTTCTTTCAAGATTCTTTTCATTTCTTTCTGTATCGCAGCTTCAGCCTCTTGCAGGAACTCGTTGGTGAAGTAGCTGCCTCCATTTTCTTTCACCATGGTGTCAATTTTTCTGATCAGATCACTGACTTGTGATCGATTCTCTTTATTCCTGTTATTAAACACATGAAATCTCTGTCCACAGTCAGAAATCAGCTTCTTAACATCACAATTCTCTTTAATATAATCTTCAATGGACTGATCATCCAGTTCATCTCCTCTTGTGAAAAGAACAATAGTGAAGTTTTCGGCATTCTTTCCAAATACTTCCTTCAGTAGTTTCAGTGTCTCTTTATCTTTTGGTGTGAATCTGCCAATCTGTAAAACCAGCAGGAAGACATGTGGTCCTGGAGCCAGCAGACTGATATATCTCACCAACTGCTCACAGACCTGATCAGGACTCAGACTGGTATCAAACAGACCAGGAGTGTCAACAACAACAACAGGACGACCCTCAACCTCAGTCTGAGCTTTCTGACAGTTTTTAGTGATTGGTGTCTGACTTAAAAAAGCTTCAAACGCATTTCTTCCCAGAATAGTGTTTCCTGAAGAACTCTTCCCACTTCCTGTTTTCCCAATCAGAACAACCCTGAGACTCTCTGAGCTCTGCTTCTTGTAGGTGTCTGTGAAATTAGAGCAGAAATAATTAGAATTATGAAATTATTGATAAGCTGTAGATATAATTAAAGTTAATTGATTAAATAAAACTGATTTCAAAAAGGAACAAAATCATCTCATCAGGAACAGGGACTCCACATTCATTGAGCTGTTTGCTGTAATTTGAACTAAGCAACTGCTTTCTTATGCAGCCTCAGTAAGTAAGTAAGTAAAGTTTTATTTATATAGCGCATTTCACAGAAATAAATTCACAAGGTGCTGTACATTCAGGGAAGGGGGCGGGAGCAGTTAAGAAACACCAATTCAAGAAGACATAAAGACAAACATGGAGGAACAGGTGAAATCGGTCATGCAGCAAACACAGTTGCGCTACCTTTAACAACAACTTGAAATACACAAAAGGAAAATTGAGTTAAACAACCCGCGAGAGAGCAAGACAGCCTGGGGGGGCTTACGTCAGATAACACATTAAGGGGAGGTAAAATGGGGCGGGTTCAGAGGAGTAGGTGACGTTGGAGGGGGGGTTCATGCTGGGCCCAACCCTGGGCCCATCCACAGTCCAGAGTCACATGATGTTATTGTCTCTACTCAGTTCGCTAGAGTTCAGAGATTTTCCACCTCCTCAACCAATTGAGTGCCAACGCTGGGTCCAACACAGGTGGGAGCGAATCCAGCTCTTAGTTGACATTTCATCCTGGGGATAAGCACTGCCGCTGGGAGCCAAATAGATAATCCAATTGTTTTGGAACAAAGCAGCCTTGAAATTCCTGCTGCTTTTGAAGTATCTTTACTGCAAACTCTGAGGTAGTGCTGTAGTACTCAAAACCGGTCTTGGTCTTAAGACCGGTCTCAAGACCAGTTTTTGATGGTCTTGGTCTCATCTCGGACTCGACAGCATTTGTACTCGGTCTTGTCTTGGTCTCGGACATTGAGGACTCGGAATTTTATTTCAAGACCAGTCAAGTCCACAACTGTGGAAATATCACTAAACAGACAGATTATTGTTCAATTTATTAGTTAACATTTTTGCTTTCATTGGATTTAAAACATACTGATTCAAATCCAAAACATTGCTATTTTTCATTGCTATTTATGTATTTTTGTTACCAGCTGTCACCCAATACTTTCCCCCAAACTGTACATGTGTACAGAATACTCCATCTTTTAGGGCACTTTTTTAATCTGGTCTTGGTCTTGTCTCGGTCTCGCCCTCCCTTGGTCGTGGTCTCGACTTGGTCCAAACACTAAAAGTCTTGGTTTTGTCTCGTTCTTGAAACACTGTGGTCTTGGTCTTGACTTGGTCTCGGCTTAGGTGGTCTTGACTACAACACTACTCTGAGGTGGTGAAAAAAAAGCCAATCAGCCAAATTTGGGGTCATTCCTCGCCTCTCACCGATTGAAGCTCACTCAGACGTAGTCCATACATGCCGAAGGGTCGCTCCTGGGTTGTGATCCTCATAATCACATCCATTTTGTGAGTTTTTCCCCCAGCTGAGGGTCTGTGTGCTACCAGCTGGCAGAATCCTTCAAGTGCCTCCGACAGCTCTTCAAAAGGCCCGATCCACTGTCAGGGTTGCTTTCACTTTTTGATAAATCTGGAGCCCTCCTCCGCCGATCAGCAGGAATCCAGTTATCATAATCCAATTAAATAAAGATCTTCCATGTCTTTGATGGAAAGTGGTACTGGCATATCAGATTCCAGCCCCAGGAATCAGACAAATCCAGCAGCAACCATTCCACTCAGACCGCCACGTTCCCCTCGTTCCAAGTGTGGAAAAAATATAGTGTCAATTTCGTTCAGAGTCCAGTTGACCAAATCCATAAATCCTTTAGTTTTGGATAGAAGGTGAAAAAAGAGCTTGAAAAGGCAAAAGCAGCAAAGGGGGGGGCAGAGAGAGCGAAAGTACGGCCTGCTCCTCTGAAGGCCAAGCAGAAACTGTAAGTAACAGTAACATTAATTGGTCTAAATTTTATGACTAAAAATTACTTTACTATATCTATGAAAAATCAAGATAAATATATTTAATCCACCTCTATCAGAGAACATAACTCAATCAAACCAAAATAATAAAAACAGTTCCCCTGGAGGAAACCATCACCAACGTTGATCACATGAACATGTTGAAAATGTTCCTACTTTTAAAGTTGTTTCATTATTTACCTGATCCTGTAGCAGCAGAGAAAAAAACTCCTGATGTTGTTGGTTCTTCCTCATAGTTCACATGTTCTCCATTGTTTTCTTTTACAATCTGACCGAGGCGAGTTATCAGCTCTGAACGATCAATGTTCTCTTTCTTTAAGTATCTGTATCTACATCTGATAATCAGATCTTTTATTGGAGGATTATTCATGTAGTTTTCTGTTAAAACTGAATCTCCATGTCTGGGAGGTAAAATCAGCATCAGTGAATGATCAAATGATTGATCATTGATGTTTTGAAGGATTCTGTAGATCCTGTTCCTCTCTTCTTCAGTGAAGTCTTCAGGCTGTAGAACCAACAGGAACACATGAGGTCCAGGATCACAGACCCTCATACAGTCTTTAATAAACTCAGTCTGTTGGTCAGCTGTGGTCAACTGGAGGTCTGGAGTGTTGATGACACTCAGAGTTTTATCCTCCAACGGTACACTGAGCTTCATACAGAACGTAAAGACATCCTTGAAAGCATCAAATCCCGCGATAAAATTTCCCACTGAATTCCTCTCAGACCAGCTGCTTCCCAGCAGAACCACCCTCAGCTCAGACACTGAAAGAAACAATACAAATTATTATAACAAATTTGACTACAATTAAACCAAATAAAAATCTGGTTAAATCAGCAGCAGAGCTGTTTAAACTCACTGTCAGGTGGTAATAAATTATAACTGCTGCTTCTCTTCACAGGCTGCACATCTGTAAAAACACAGAGATAAATTGTCAGTAAATTGTCCTGTCTTATGGTGATCCAAAAAATTTGATATTTTTTTTAAAGGCACAGTGTGTAGGATTTTGTCAATTCTTTTAGCCGAAATTGATATAATCACTAATGACAATAATAAAAACATGTCTAATCATTGCAGACAAAGACCTTGTTTTATTATTTTTACCTTATAAAAAGCTGTTTATATCTCCATGGTCGCGGGTCGCCACTACAGGCGGCCGCCATCTTGCACCTCCATCTTGTCTACGAAGGCTCATGAAGGACAAACTGCGGTGGCGGCGTCAAAAACGGTTTTAGTTGTAATACTATAAATGTAATATTTGTTGTCTGTCAATGTAGCTGGGATAATTTTACTTATTAAAGCTCATAATCTTACCACTTGAAACATCACTAGCCCTGAAGCTGCTGGTAGACATCGCGGTTGGAATTATCAAAGGTTTTTGACACCTGAGAGACACCGTAGCAACTCCTTTGTGTTTGGAAGCGGGGSGTGGGGGTGGGGGGAGGACCAGGGAGGATGATTAAACCACTCAACCACTAGATGTCGCTGAAAACAACAAATCCTACACACTGTGCCTTTAAGCTTCGCTGTTGATGTGGCTCAGGGTTTCTTTTGGTTCATGTAGCCATTTGGTTTTTTGTTTTGTTTTAAAAATAGTTTATTTTGGTGAATTTTTCTTGATATTTTGACAAACCACCAAAATGTGGTCAATTACAAGGAAATATTCAAGTTGTTGTAAAGTCAATTTGAAACTTTAAAGTATAAAAAATAAAACATTTTAACCATAATTGCAATAATTAGACTCCTGGGGTCTCATGTATCACGTATGCACAAAACCTTGCGTACACTCTTTTCCAAGCAAAACTCCGGATGTATCAAAACTGAAATGAAGGTGGAAATGTTTGCAGCCCCACGCCAACTCAAGGGCTGGTGTCACACATTTCTGTGGTTCTGATTCCATTGGCGACACAAATCACCTAACTAAATATAGCTGTCATGTCTTCAGGACAGGAAACCCTGGGCATTCTGATTTTTACCTTGCAGCTGTTGGGCTCACAGAGAAAGCCCAAGTTACCACATTCACCATCATGGCCATGAGTAGGTGGTGTAAATGTGCAGCACAGTAAACAGCCAACACCTAAATGATGCAAACTCTACTCCAAAACCAAACATAAAAAACTAAAGGAAAAATGCTTCAAATACTAAAATCTGCAAGAACAAACTGCAAACTCACTCCACAAAACAGAAGTGCATCAGACCACTAGGGGGACTCAACCACCAAGTCATGTGGGACCAAACCTTCAGCAAAGACATTAAGGAAGAAAAATGAACCTTGTCCTTCTTACCTCCACATTTTTTCTGCATCCTATTAATGTCTTAACTGAGAACCTGGTTCAATAAACTCCTCAACCTCTTTAACGAAGGTATATTAGGAGCACTGGAGAATTAACGAAGGAAGGAAGGAAGGAAGGAAGGAAGGAAGGAAGGAAGGAAGGA